AGAGGAAACCGATGCGGGGGCGGGGTTGCCTGGCTCTGATTTCTCCAGACTCTCTGAGCCTCCACTTCCTTGTCTGTAAGATAGGAGTGTGCATAGCCTACCAGTCAGGGAGGTCCAACCTTTGGGCGTCTCTGGGCTACACTGGAAGAAGAAGAGTTGTCTTGGGCCACACATTAAATACACTGTGACACGTAATGACAAAAAAATCTCATAATGTTTTAAGGAAATTTACAATTTTGTGTTGGGCCGCATTCACAGCCATCTGGGCTGCGTGCGGCCTGCAGGCCGCAAGTTGGACGCCCCTGGCCCCCGCTCATAGGGCTGAAGCCTGAATCAGCTAATACATATGTAGTAAGTGCCCAATAAATAATGCTTCTCGGTGAGGCTCCCGCGGGATTCTCTTGATTACCTTGCCAGCCAGCTGGGCGGGCCTTTGAGGACTGGCCCTCGCAGCTCTTGTGCTGGGTGCTCTGAGGCACAAGTGGCTGGAAGGGGGGCGTCCAGCAGCAGCCACTTCCCTCCCTGTTTTTCTCACTCTCCTGAAGGTAGTTGAGGACTGGCTGCTCCAGACAGGTCTCGAGTTAATGATGAAGAACGAGCGCTCTGGAGTCAGACACCGACAGGGTCAAATCCTGATGCCACTGCTGTGTGACGCTGGGCCAGTTTCTTAACCTCTCTGAACCTTGGTTTTCTCATCTGTAAAAGGGGATTGACCAGGACCTCCCTCATAGAGATTTTACGAGGGTGAAGTGAGACTGTGCAGCATCTGGTACATGGCAAGTGCTCAGTGTGAGCTGTGATTGTTATGAAGCCCAGGGTCCTCTGCGGCCACCACCAGGTGTTCCTTACCTTGGCTCCCTCTGCAAGATGGAAGGAGGCGACCAGCTTGCTAGGCTGGGCGAAGGATGTGGTTTATGTCAAGGAATTATTGCTGAAATCCATCCTGAAGTTTTATTTTACAGACAAATTAGTGCAAAAATGGAACACTGGCATGCATATGCATGGCCAGTTGCCACGTAAATGGTCCATCCCTTCTGGAAAGTGGTTCTTGGCCACAGACATAAGAAGTCAATATCCTCTGACCCAGTAATACCACTCCTGGGAGTTCAGCCTAAAGAAATAATTCAACAGACTTAAAAAGAAAAAAAAACACACACACACAACAACCCAACTATCTGCAAGAAATTGATCCTGCAATGAGCATCTAGAAGCACACAAATTAGAAACAACCTACATCTCCATCAACAAGAGATGCTCAAGGGCTGGTGGATGGCAGAGCCTGCGACGGACCCGGGACGTCACGGCTGCCGGTAAAGGGCAATTAGCAGCAGTGCTGGCAGCTGCTATGGAATAATGTCTCCCTTTAGATAAAGGACCAACAGGGGCAGCAAAAACAAATAAGATGGTGGAATTAAGCGTGATTTCCCACTCCAAAAGAACTTTTGACTTTTGTTCAATTAACAGCAACTGCAATGGCAACACAAATAAAAACATAGAAAAGAAGACAATTTCTCCTAAGCCCTCAAGCACAGCTCCCACCTGAGGGCTGAAGAGAGAGGCTGGGCCAGTGTGGCCTTCCTGCCCCTTTGGTGGTTGGCTCGGTGGAGTGGGGAAAGAGGTGATGCAGAAATGTGCCAGATGAGGACGGGCAGGGATGTGCTGAGGATTATGGGAGTACAGGTGGGCTAGGAAGTGGACACAGTGTGATCAGGGAGGGCTTCATGGAGGAGGTGTCCTCAGAGCACTCTTAAATGATGAGGACGGATACACTAGTGAGTATCAAGGCAGAGGCAAGAAAGGCCTGGGAGGTGAGCCAGATCCCAAGTGGCAGCCTGGGAGCAGGCTGAGGAGTCTGCCCCACAGGGGAGCCCCACGTGGCCTTAGGGACAATCCCTGGGCTGCCTGGGGGAGGACAGATGGAAGGTCGTTCCTGGGGGTGAAAGACCCGTGAGAGGCCGCCGCAAGTGTGTCTGCAGAAGTGGAAGGGGGAGGGCAAGGGAGGAACGAAGCATGGCTCCTCAGAGCACACCTGAGCGGCAGAACCTGAGCCGAGGCTGGGACAGGATGAGGGCCAGCGTGGGTGGGCCATCCAGGGGGAGGGGCTCAGGAAGCAGTCAGATCCCTGGGTCTGGAGCTCAGCACGGCAGAGGCAGCTGGTTTGGAGCACCGCCACGGGATGGGTGTGGGAGGCCTCCGGGTGCGGCCGAGCTCACCCAGGGAAAGTGAGAGGAGAGCCAGGAGAGGTGCCCAGCTTAAAGGAGGGGGACCCTGAGACGGGGCGGGAAAGCAGAGTGGGAGGGGAGGCAGGTGACGGGCGTCCAGGAGCCGAGCGCAGGGAGACCTGTTGGAGGGCACGGTCAGCAGGGTCAGGTGTCAGAGAGGGGTCCAGCAAGATAAGGATGGAAATGTTCTGTTCCATTTGCGCCCCTTGGTGCGCGCCCAGCGTACGGGGAGAGACGGGTGGAGAGAAGGCAGACCCTGAACATGTGGGAGCATCCCCTGGAGGATATCGGATAAGAAGAAAACAGAGAACCAGACAGTGTCTACTGGGTGGATGCAGTCCCACTGAGACCAATAGCCGACGTCATTTGGGATCCAGACCCCAGCTCCTCTCAAAGACCCCAAAGAGACCGGCTCTGGCTGCAGCCAGGCTCAGAAAGAAGACCTGGTGGGCAGGCGGTCCCCAGCTTTCTCTCTGCGTGTCCACTGCACCCAGAAAGCAGGAGGGCTGTGTGCAGGGAAGCCAGAACTCCCCCAACCTGAGAGGTAAACCCAGTGCCAAATCCCAGCCGCCAGGATAGCCCCGACCTCAGCAGGCTAGGCGGGGGAGAGCCCACCGTGCCAAATGCGCAGGTGCTGGGGGAACGGGTCCAGGGCAAGCCCAGTCCTGCCAGCCCCAGACATGGGAGGAGCCACGGGTGCCATCTGGGTGCGGGGGCAGGGGCTGGGGCAGGCAAGAGGGAGTGTTTTGAAAACCAAACCTTTTTTTTACATTAATAAAATCTATTCCTAAAAGGAGAGTTTATCCCCATATTGAGTGTTGGCTATTTTAAAAATTAGTGCCCTGGCTGGTGTGGCTCAGTTGGTTGGAGCATCAGCCCATAATCGGAAGGTCGCGGGTTCGATTCCTGGTCAGGGCACGCCCTTAGGTTGCACATCCCATCCCCCTTCTGGGCGCGTATGGGAAGCAACCAATCGATGCTTCTCTCTCACATTGATGTTTCTTTTTTCTCCTTTCCTCTCTCCCTTCCTCTCTCTCTAAAAAGCAATGAAAAGATGTCCTCAGGTGAGGATAAAAAAATCAATAAATAAAAATTTAAAAAATTAGTAACATTATCGCTTAGTGATGAAAATAGCAACCACCCAAACTGATCGAGCATAACTCTGCCAGGCACTGTTCTGGGTCCTTCACAAAGATGAGCTCACGTCATCCCCTCACACCCCAGTGAGGCAGGTGCTGCTACTGTCCCCGTTTTACAAGGGAGGGGACTGACGCCCCTTTGCTGCCGACTTTCAGCATTTATCATTATTATTTCCCGCTCTTCGCTCTCCTGCTAGAAACCCGCTAGGGCTGGAGCGGGAGAAGGGAACGCTGGCCTGGCAGGCAAGACCCCCGGGGTTTCCCCCTGCCTCTGTCGCTCACCGTGGGAGGCCTCTGAGACGCACGTTTCTCCCCTGTAAGGGGAGAGGGCTGTCTGTGCCAGCTCCCTGGCTGGGCTGTGACACCCTGGGCGGTGGGTGCTGACACCAGTGCAGAGTTCCTGAAGGGTCACCGGACCACGGGCTTGGCCAGCCTTCCACACATCGCCTGTGCTGCTGAGCCAGAGGTTTAACTGGGAGAGCGGCAGCAGGAGGGGTCCCTGCATTCCCCCCCACCCCGGCCCCGTCGGCCTCTGTCCTCTCCCTGCCTTTGCCAGCCGCACTTGGTTTGTGGGGAGGTGTAAAGGGGCAGCCTCTGTCTGTCCCTTCCTTTCACAGGTCCAGTTTGGCTGCGAACGCCCTTCCCTGCGGCCTGGAAATAGTAAATGGCTGCAGGTGGTCATTGTCTCCCCAGTGCCTATTCTTCCTACTCTGTCCAGCCCTGCCCGCCCACCCCTACTCCTCCCCACCACCCCCCGGCTCCTGGGGACCCTAAATAGGTGCTCACAGGGAGGTAGGGGTCTGGCTACTTCAAAGGAGAAATGACTGGCCCAGGATCACATGACTGCCCAAGAGTGGGCTATTGGGTCAGACCTCTTGTGTCTGACTCCTAGCCTGAGCCAGCAATGCCTGAAAAGGTTGGTGGAAGAAAGAGAAGGAACCCTGTTCCCCACTCAATTCCCACCCCAGAGCTTCCAGCTTCCAGGTAACCTGGCTGGGGGACACCCTCTGAGCTCCTACCGAGGTCCGAGGTCCGTGGTACAGCCCAGGCGGGGGATACGGGGGTGGGAGGTGGTGATGAGCGCACCGGTTTGCCTTGTGGGACACTCTGTTCCCTAATTTTTGGCAGGAGCTACAGGGGACTCTGAGTCCCTTGGACAGCGCAGCCGGTCTCCTGACCATCGGAAGGGAGTGCGGGGCGGGAGCCGCTTTGGAGATGTCTGAGAGAGGGAAACGGAACGCAGATTTAATGAGATCCTAATACGTGCCAAACATTTTCACACACCTACATTTTGATCCGTCCTCACTACAGGTGGCCACCGACACACCCGCTTTACAGACACGGAGGCTGGGGCTTACGGAAGTCCCTGGAGGAAAACGGGTCGCGAGCGAGCCTTTCCCGCGCCTCGGCCACAGTACCAGCCTCCGGCCCGCATGCCCTCACGGGATTCTCCTTGCCATCATCCCCTTTATATAGATGGGATATCCAAGGATCAGATACTTGCGGGCGCCCCCCCCCCCCCCCCCCCCCCGCAGAGTCCCTCCGCGCGGCAGCGGTGGCCGGAGCCCCCAGAGCCCTCGAGCGGCCCCTCCCACCCCAGCCTGCCCGGCGACGACGCGGCGCGGGGCGTGGCGCTCACCTCGATGCGGTCGATGCGGTCCCGGAGGGCGCGCACGGCGTCCTCCAGCTCGAGGATGAGCGCGGGCGAGTCCCAGGCCCCGTCGGCCATGGTGTCGCGGCGGGGCCCGGCGTCCTGGAGGCCGCGCGGCAGGCCGCTCTCACAGCGGCCCAGCTTGCCCGTGAGCTCGCGGATGGTGTCCTGGTCCGCGCGGATGCGCGCCTCCTGCTGCAGCGCAGTCTGGCGCAGCTGGTCGGCCGTGCTCTGCAGGAGCAGCAGCTCCTCGCGCTCACCCAGCGCCGCGTCGCCCTGCTCGCCCCCCGACGGGCAGGCGGCGGCCAGCGGCGTGCACAGGAAGCGGCTGAAGAGGGGCACGGGCGGCAGCGGGTGCGCGCTGGCCGCAGGCGCCCCGGGCAGCGCGGGGGGCCCGGCCGAGCTGCCCGCGCCGTGCAGGGCGCTCAGGCTGCGCTGCGGGCCCGGGGACGCGGCGGCGGCGCCCGAGGCGGCCGAGGCGTTGTCGGCGCCTCCGGGCAGCGCCCGCGCCCGGCTGGCCGCCAGGGGCACGCTGGCGATGATGCAGATGACGGCACCGAGGAACGCCAGCATGCCCGCGGCCAGCAGCACCGCCAGGAACTTCAGCGTGAGGCGGGCGGCGGGGGCTCCCGAGGCCCCCGGCAGGCGCGGCGGCGGGGTCGGGGCGCGGGGCCCGGGAGCGCGGGGCCGAGCGGGGCCGGAGCGGGAGCTGGAGGAGCCGGAGCCGGAGCTGTTGCCGCGGCCGCTGCTGCCGCCGTTGTGAGCCCGGGCGTCGCGAGGAGGAGAAGGCTGCGGGCGGGCGGGGAGAGGGAGCGGGCGCCGCGGCCCCGCCCCTCCGGCTCCCCCGGGCCGGCCCTGGCCCAGCCCCGCACCCGTTCCGCGCCGGGCGCCGAAGTGGGGGCGCCTCCCCGGATGCGGGGAGAGGCACGTGGCGGCGCTAAGAGCTTTATCCTGCCTGGGTCACAGACGGTGGTGACTCGAGGGCCGCGCGGCGGGACCCCTGAGTGGCCCCACCCCTCCCCTCCAGAACCGGTAATGCCAGCAGCTACCTTTCGGGGAGCTTTTCTCCCGTGTCACGCTCTGTGCTGAGTGAGCGACACGCTCGGTCCCCAGGAAGCCTCACCGTGGACTTGCTCACGATACAAATGAGGAAACTGAGGCTCACCGAGCTCAGGACGCTGTCCAAGGTCACACAGCTAGTAGGTGTCAGAGTAGCATTTGGGCTCAGGCACATCCGACTGGACAGACTGTGGGATGGAGCTGGGCTGAGCATGGGGAGAGGAAGAAAAGAGGCCAGTGTTGGGGGCAGGGTACTGGAGATTTTGACCCAGTCTCTATTTATATTACGGCCACCTGCTTGTCACTTCCCACCCCCAACCTCCTGAAGGAGCAGGGTTCACGCCCCTCCACATCCACTGGAAAAAAAAAATCTTCCTGTGATCTCCAAGGGCGGCAGCAGTTCCACCTCTGACTCGCTGGGGGCACAGGCGACCAAGAGAGAAGACCCCTGTCCCCGCCGTCTACAGTGGCCAATACTGGTGGGCATGTGGACCAGGCGCTGCAGGAACAAGGAGGAATGGGAGTGGGATGTGGTGTGGAGGTGGAGGAGGAGCCTGTCAAAAATGTCTATATATATTTTGTTGCAAATTAACTTTGCAATTAAAAACTTAAGGAAAAAAAAATGCCTACCATCCTTCACAATCCAGCTCCAGTTCCAGTTTTCCAGGAAGCATGTCCTTATCAAAGTGGGCTTCCAGGGCTGGGAGGGCGCTCCGGCGGCTGTGGACGGGCACCCTGCATCCGGGGATGGAGAAGAGGGGTCAGCCCCGCGTGCAGGCTGCAGCCTGGCCTGTCTCCCTTCCGTGCCCACGTTTTTGACCTGAAAGGACGCTCAAGCTGGGACTCTGGGCCACTGTGGCTGCCCTGTGGGCTCTGCACAGGGCTGGTGGTGGGGAGGGACCAGAACATTTCCCAGGGGGCGCAGGCCTGGGGGACCCTACCTGGACACTGGGCACATGCCCCAGCCCCACCCCCACCCCCAGCCCCAGGACGATACCCACCCTGCTCGCGCGATCTCTGGGAGCCGGGATCACCCGAGCTGCACAGTGGGAGCAAAGCAAATGTAAGCTCGAGTCGACACCATGAGCCCCTGAGCCGTGTGTGCCTGGATGTGAGTTAGCACTCGGAACGGTGGCCTGGAACCCCCTCCAGGCAGCCCGGCGCGCGGGAGGCCGCTCTGCACCGAGCAAAGGCACCGTGTGGCACGGGGACTCCTGGTGCACCCACACGTGTTCCGTGAAGACAGAAACCCCCATGTGACATCCCAAGGAGAAGTCATCGGAGAAAACCCAGGGAAGGACAGGGGAGGCTGAGGGAGGGGCTGCCGCCAAGGACATCAGGGCCACTTGGGCATCCAGCGGTGCCACCTTTACGTGAACGGCCTTGTGAGAGCTGGGGACAGTCGGATAACGGGCCCAGAGGCTGGAGTCGAATCTGGTTTAAACCGGCGTGTTTATCTGCCGGGATGCCTGTGTACACCTGTGATGTGACCAGGGCACTCTCCTGCTTATGAAGCCGTTGGTGGCTCCCCATTCCTTATGGAATCGAGTCCAGTCTCCTTAAGAGGCAGTACTGCCTAATGGGCAAGGGCATGGGTTCTAGAGCCAGAATGTCTCGTTCAAAACCCAGCTTCTCCCTGGTTCCCGTTGTGTGACCTAGTTTGCAAGGAGCGTAAAGTCTCAACCCCCCTTCACAGTTCCCTTCGCCCTCTCCTGCCCCGGTTTCCCAATCTATAAAACGGGGGCTAACAGGAGTGCCTGGGATGCCTCAGGAAGCGCTCGGTCTCATTATGTCGGCCGCTCCTGGTTAGTAAGACTTGATGATTTAGACACTAATCACCCTTCCAGCCTCATGTCCTGTCCCTCACTGCCTATCAAACTGTGCAGAATTCCCCTGATATCCCAGGAGGTCTCCTGTCTCTGCCTTTGTTCATGCTGTCTCCTACCTGGAATGCCACCCCCTCTGTCCTTGATGCATTTTATCCCCAGCACCCGCGACAAGGTGCCCCACCCCAGGCGGCTACGTGATGAATGTGGGCAGAACTACGTCCCTCGCAGGCAGCACTGGCTGCTGCCGGGGGCAGAGGCGAGAGGCTAGGGCAGGGAGGCTCTGAACCCCATCTCTCGGGCACTCCGGGGGAGACCCCCTCAGTCCTGACCCAGGACACGAGAGATGGTTAGAAAAGGACTCTCTGGGGACTTCCATAGGTGGCAATAGTCCCCATATTTTCTCTCTAAATTTTCACATCTCCTAGATTTTTTATTTCTCCACTTTCATGCCAGTTGTAGGGTAAGAGAATTCTGCCTTAAATGAACAAATATAGTCATTCGTTCAAAATGTGTGTTTTGAGATGGATTCTGTGCCAGGCGCCAGGGAGTGCTGGGAATGGGACAAGCTCCCATTGTATAGACTAGTGGGGAGGCAGGAAGTAAACAAATGAATAATTAAACAAAATTTAATTGATAATGGTAATGAGAACTACAATGAAAAATTTAAAATTGAAAAGTAATTTAAAAATAATATGATAGAAAATTACAGGAGGTTGGGGTGCGGGGAGCTGGGAGATGGGCACTATGTATAAGGGTATTAGAAAAAACCCGCCTTTGAGCTGAGACCGAAGGACCCGAGGAACCAGCCATGCAGGTACTGGGGGAAAGACCGAGTGTCCTCCGCGGCGGGAACAGCCGGTGCGAAGGCCCTGAAGCAGGACTGAACTTGGTGCGTTTCGGAGACAGAAAGAAGGCCAGCGGGGCTGGAGCCGAGTGAGCTCCAGCGGGGAAAGGAAGCTGGAGGGCAAGGCAGAGCCGGGCCACTGGGGGCTGCCCAGGCTGGGGGCAGGGACCAGTCCAATTCTAAGCCCAGCTGGAGGGCTCCAAGCAGGGAAGCAACAGCATAGGGTTCGTGTTTGTAGAAGGTTACCCTGGTCGTTGCACGGAGACCGGCTCACAGGAGGGATTGCAGAGGTGGCAGGGAGGCCAGCTGGGGCCCTCCAGCCTCCTGGTGAAAGGAATGGGGTCTTGCAGGTCCTGATGATGGAGAGATCTCAGCGGGCTGTGCACGGAACACAGAGGTAGAGGTTGTGGGTTGGGTCCTCCAGGAAGCAGGCACGGAGATGGGGTTGGGCGTGCTGGCGGTCGATTGGGGGCAGATGAAAGGGGAGGAGGGAGAACTGGGCAGGGGGAGCCTCAGGCCTCAGCGCAGACCTGACCAAGCCGTGGCTGAGCCAGCACGGAGCTCTGGGGCGAAGTCGGCCTGTTAGGGAAGCTTCGCACTGGGCACAAATGCTCAGTCCCTCGTACCTTTTCATGTTCATCTGGCCCAGAAGAAGGTGGCTTCAGCTCAAAAGCTGGGGTGATGTCTACACAGAAACCTGCGCGTGGATGTTTATAGCAGCGTTATTCACAATTGCCAAAACTTGGAAGCAACCAAGATGCCCATAAACTGAATGGGTAAATAAACAGAGGTACATCCAGACAATGGAATGTTAGTGCTAGAAAGAAATGAGCTTTCAAGCCATGAAAAGACCTGGAGGAACCTTAAATACACATTATTGAAGTGAAAGAAGCCAGTCAGAAAAGGCTACATATTGTATGGTTCCAACAATATGACTTTCTGGAAAAGGCAAAAACATAGAGACAGTACAAAGATCAGCGGTCGCCAGGGGATACGGGAGAGGTAAGGATCAATAGGCAGCGCACAGAGGGTTTTTAGGGCAGTGAAACTATTCTCCACGAGATCATAATGGTGGGTATATGTCATTATACATTCATTCAAACCCATCAGAAGTAGAACGCCGAGCGTGAACCCTAATAGAAGCTGTGCACTTGGGTGATGTCAGTGTGGGTTCGTCAATTGTCACAAACTCTACACTCCGGCCCGGGGTGCTGGTAGTGGGGGCAGGGGGTGTATAGAACTCTCTGTACCTCCCGCTCAACATTGCTGTGAACCTACAACTGCTCTAAACACAAACAAAAGCTGGGGTGGATCCCGCGGGCCCTGCCGCTGGAGGGTGTCTACGAACTGCACCACGCATGGCAGAGCGGCCAGCTTGTTCTCTGACGGGGAGCTGAGCGGTGCCTCCTGCGGCTGCCAGTCTCTGCCCCTGGCGCCGTGAAGTCCGCTTCTCCACACACTGTCGGGGAGCAGCTCCTCCAAGGTCCGCCGGGGCCTCTCCTTCTGAGGGGACAGCCCCTGTTACTGCAGTTGGTGGCAGGGCCCCAAGAGGTGTTCACTGTCTCCCTCCTTTGCCACCCATTCTAATTCCCCTTGCTTCCCATCATTCCCTCTGCTGAGAAAGGAGGAAGAAGATTCTCTCCTTCACCTAGTCTAGTGAAGTCTGCAGTACAATATATTGGCTCAATAAATGAGATACATTTTTAAAAAGATTTTATTTATTTATTTATTTTTAGAGAGAGGGGGAGGGAGGGAGAAAGAGAGGAGAGAAACATCAATGTGTGGTTGCCCCTCTTGCGCCCCACACTGGGGACCTGGCTGGCAACCTAGGCACGTGCCCT